GATGAAGAGCAGTTTGAAGCTGCAACTTGGTGGTTGAAAGGGGGTGATATAAACCATTAAGTTTACTTTTTATAGCATCTATATTTGACAATCAGCTTTCCTTAAGGTTCCTACACAACAAGTAATTGTTAGTAATTAGTGATCTAAATTTGTATTTTAGGATATGAATTTGCCCATCAGTCGATTGACGACAGATGACGAATTGTGGTGCATATCAATTCAAAAAAGTTTTAAGGGATAGTTCAAAGTAGTTAATAACTCAGTCTTAACAAGATACGGATATATAGACTATGAAGCATATTCATGGCGATTAATTAACTCGCGAAAATGGATTATCATTCTATAGATAGTATTTTACATTAGTGTTCAAATAAGCGTTTTACACCGCATTAGTATAAACTACTTTGCCTATTATAGTTAATTACTATTGCCCAGCTTTTCAAATGTCTAGTATGGAAACACTTAATTATCATGAACGAATATTATCTACTGAGCTTAAAACAAAAATAAACGAAGACTACAAGATCAATTCAGCGATATATAAGAGGTAAAACTTAGTTGACTGTTTTAGCTTTTCAAACTAATACATTAAAATTCGTAAACTTCTTTCACTGATTCGTCATGCATCTCAACCAACTAACCAACTACCCCCCACGTGATAATAGAAATTGGTTTTAGTTTTTTTTCAACTTTCTTAAAGTCGATAGATATTTATTATATAGAAATTTAATTTTTATAGACAATTTATTTTCTTTTATTGAATCCATTAACATTTTAAAATTATTTTTTCCAACTTAATTGTCATCACCTATTTACTCAATTGTTTTTTTCTTTTTCGAACTCATCATAAACATGAAAAATCCATTTAATGAAATCAGTAAACTTCATTTTAATGAGAGAAATAAAAAAAAAGAACAGAAAGCAAGCATACTCACAAATTTACTTATCTCAATAAATTTATTTATATAGAGAAAGTAAAACTTTAAACCAAAAAAAAAAATAAAACAATTATTACTTATGAGTAATAGGTATGATTTAAGGACAGTTTAAATGTTCAACATTTGTCATTCATATTGGGAAGAAATAACATCAATTTATAGTTTTCCTCTTGGACAGTTATTTCCTGCTTAATATTCTCTTCTATCAGTATAATCTCTTGTTCGTTTAACACAAATGAATTAAAAGTTCCCTACTAAGTAAAATATATACTCTTTAAATTTACATAGTATTGTTTGTTTGAATCTTCCCATTGAGTCCTAAAAAGGACGAAACGCGCGTCCTGGATTCCTCTGCTAGCCACTATCCAACTTTGCTTACAATGCTTGTGAATTAAGGCTATATCGATGCAATACTCACAGTATGCACATATGCCAATTAGAGACTGACCAGTTGCAGTCCTAAACATCAATGGGAAGATTCAAACAAACAATACTAAGTGAATTTAAACTTCACTCCATTGCACAAACAAGTGGCTATCAGGACTCAGTGGCCAAGTGGATAACGCGATGGCGTTTGAAGTGAAATTTACTGGGTTCGAGTACCAGAGTGAACATCAACTCTGACATACAGGTACATCCAGCTGACGAGTCCCAAATAGGACGAAACGTGCGTTCTGGATTCCACTGCTAGCCAATAACCATTTTTGCTTATAGAATCTTTAGTCCGATTCTGTACATAGAATTTTTAGATTTTCTCCATACTATATATTTTATGTAAAAAATTTGCATTTGTGATTTCATGTTTGTGTTTAGCAGTTATTTCTGATTACGTTAACAAAAAGGGTCAAGTATTAACAGGGAGATCAGATTGGCTAAATGGATATATGTTAAGGCATATACAGTATATTTCTTCTCAAGTCTGAACTATTATATTTTAAAATCAAATAATCATTTCCTTCTAATTTGTAAAGTTGGTCGATGAGCTATTGTCATGGTGAAACGTTTGACTGCTGGGGTGTCTAGCAAATGATTTCATATTGTCATATTTGTATATTTCTTGAGGTTCAAAATAGGTAATTGGATGTACTTCTTAAATGAAAATGGATCAATGCGACTAAATAGATTAAACAGCTAATACATAACATTTTAACGACAACAAACACACACAAATAACACAAAAATTCGTCAACATTCGAACGAATAGCTTGACAAAAGTTGAGCGCCGAGTATAGAGAAGTCGTTATATGTGAGAATTATATTTGAAATAATCTTTGCGATTGAAATTTAAATCATTCCAACGTTTCGTCCAGCTAACTTGTCTGGACTTCTTCAAGGTTAGTTGGACGAAACGTTGAAATTGTGATAAGTTTAGAAAAATTAAATTTAACCTAACGACTCTAAGTTATCCTTATATTTCACTACAACATTTGCTACAGTTCATAATAAAACATTGAAAAGATTTCTTTTGAATGCATTCACAGTAACTCTCTACGTAGATATAGAACTCTCTTCATATATATATATATTTTTTTTTCTATAGAACTTCTGTCAACTAATTTCAACCCATTCTTTTCCTCAATTACGAGGGAAAAAATAATTAGAACCCCTTGTTTATCCTCATCTCTTAGTCATTAGATTAAGTAGATATACAGACCTTATCAACTGTTGGTGGTATCCACTACTTCTACAAGCCAATTTGTTTATTTGTCGTGCTGAACAACATAGGTATTAAGTGGGATAGACAAGAAATGCTCGTTTCAGGTTTTAATGCTAGATACCACTCAATATTTTACAAAATGGTTAGTTTTATCTCAATGTAGTGAGAATCGCTGAAAAGAAATTATTTCAGAAGTAGTTAAAAATAGTTCTATGTTTCAAAATGATTGTCACAAATTGCTTGATACTAGGATTTATTCTGGAATAATAAACAAGAATCAAGTCTGGATATTCGTGTATATTATTAATTTTTATTGTTAATTACAACTCAACCTAAAATGTTTGTTTTGAGAAGTCTTTTTCTTTACCAAATTAAAAGTGATAAATATATTGTAGTGAAATATTTTTTAAAAATTCTTATGACAGCATAAGCATACCTATACTATATGAATAAATAGAACATCTTGTTGAACACTGAAAAGAATATAAACTGTTGAATTCCAAAATTTTCTTCATACTATTAATTATTTATTTTGTTCTTTTTTGACCATCCTAGACTGAAGAATCTCGCGAGAGCGGGTTCGTGGATGCGCACTGCTGAGGAGTCCCATAATAGGGCGAAACGGCCGTCCAGTGCTTCCAGGTTTTCCACGGTGGTCTAGCTTCAATGGACTCATGATCTTAACTATAAATTACTGAATCTCCACAAAAACCCCCTTGTGATAAACTGAAGATGTTTAATAATATAATAAAATTACAATATACAACAAAAAGTTTACTTTAGAAGTAACTATTGTTTTAAAATGAATATTAAACTTTGTATCATAACAAACTATAACTTCAAGAAAAAACACACCTCATTTTGGGTGTTGAGTTCAGTTGAAAAGAAAAGAAAGTTACAGAAATTGTCTTTAATAAAAGTGAATTACAAAACTTGGTCAAACGTTGTACTGAGCTATTTATTCAGGAATGGTTTTAGCAATAATAATAATAATAATAGGGTTTTAAATTTTTGACTATTTCATCTATTCATAATACTGATCAATTAACTTGACTTTAGCCTATACATAATTCTGTGAAATAATTAAAAGGCTGTTGATAAAGTGGATAAATTAAAGGTGAAATGAAAAACTAAAGTTAACCTAGTATTGTTGAAAACTCTTAAACTTAGTGCACTGTCAAAAATAAATAGCTGGACTATGCCCACGTAGTGGACTACAAGCTTTGCACTATAGCTTTTGTTTGTAAAAAAAAAATAAAAAAATGCAAAACAGTGAATTCATAGATTTTACGACTAGTGGTATGTTTATTTTAAGAAGAAACGATCCGAAATGGCAAAGGTAGGAAAGTAAAGTGAGCAAAGTTGATGGCTTTAAGCTATGCAAAGAACATGGCAAGTTCAGGGCACTAAAATCCACTTGTTTGTTGATGTCAGTCTATTCGAGTTATTTAACTCAAATTTTTAAATGCTTGATGAAGGATAATCTCAACATTTAGGTAGCTACAAGTAATTTATAAACGACAACTTATGTAATTTCCTATTATGGTGTTATGTTCATCTATACAAAAGATCAATAGAAACGTTTCTCAAGGTCATATCACACATAGTAGAGATTTAAACACCATAGTAACATGTTCGATTATGTTTAAGCAAACTAGGACATTGCTTATTGTTTTTAAATTTCGTATTTTAATAGACATCAGTTTATAGAAGAAAACCAGCTTCAAGTAACAGAAACTTGTGTGGTTTTTTCAATGAGATCTATGTTTAAATTATTACATGACTATTACAAGTAGACTATAGAATAGTGAACACTTAAAAATCATGATACAGCATGTGAACAAAAATTCAATCATCTGATAAGATATTCTTTCTTTGAAGTGGTCCACATTTTACTATCCAACTTTGTGTTATTAATGTGAAGTAAGTCCTTAAGTATAACTGAGAGTCTTTACTTATCTTAAAAGAAACTGGATTAAAGACAGTATATAGCATCTAAAACTAGTCACTGACTGTTATTACAGTTATTAGTTTCAGTTACCACAAGGCTATTTGGTATTAAGCATTTCAAGGATTAGTTTCATATCCAGTAAAATGTATAGTTTAAAAAAACTATTGTGTCAAAATCTAACCGATTGAAATTAGCCTGTTCGCTCTAGACATTTTAACTATGTACCTTAAACATTGTAACTACCTTCTAAGATAATATAAACATCTTGTCATTTACTGTCGTGTTATGTTGTTCTAAGCAAAATGTCATTTTGTTCTAATCAGTTATTGTTAAAATAACCTGTGGATGAATTCAAGATTCTGATTTTATGTACAGCATCAAACGTGATATTCACCTAATCAATTACATCACTTTGTTGTGTTTGTCCCCATATCATTTTTTTTCTTATCTACAGATATCAACTTAACTAAATTACAGCTGAGTAGATTGAATAATCAGCTACAAACAATACAGAATAGAATAGCTTTTTTTGCTGGTCTCGAATTTAATGTCGTTGAAAAACCATTAGACGAAAATCCTAAATTGATAATGAACAAAGTTATCACGAATTTAGGCAATGCATACAATCCAATAACCGGGGAATTTATTGCACCAGTAAATGGTATTTATATTTTATTTCTAGCCATTTCAGCTCAAGGGAAATCAAGAGTAAGTGAATAATGTACTACTGATTATTTATTTATTTGTTTAAAAGTGTCCGGTTTGTTTATGATATTGTGATTGATAAAGATCACAAATGTAGAGATAACACGTGTGCGCCAGTAAGAATCACACATACAATTACTCAATATTCACTGATCGATTATAACATATGAATTATTATCATAGTAGGTTAATAACGATTGAAATACTACAATATCAGCGATTCGGACTGTTATTCTGAATAACGAAAATTTATTCTTGGGGTAGTATGAATTTCGTCCAGATAACAGGTAAACGTCAGCACATCAATCGTAAAACGTAGATTAATGGTTTACTGAATATATCACCTACCTTTAAACACCAATAAACGTGAATATTACCAGGAATTTACTAGAATGATATAAGTTGTAAAATGTCATCAACACAGTTGGGAATGGGTATTTAGATAATATTAAAAAATCTACCGTAGTAATTCTGTAGATGAGCATATAAAATGAGAACTGTTTTTTTACCGGCTTGATATTTCACTTCCAGCTTTAACACTATCATCATATAAGCTTGTTTTTTAGATACTTTTCAAACAAAACCCAACAGAAATCTCAACCAAAAATTTACTCAGATTAAAAATAAAACTAAATAAATGTATGATACTTTATCATAAAAGGAAAAACCAACATTATACCAAATATAAGAACTGAATGAGAGAAAATTCTTATGAGTAAACTAACAATGTATAATTATACCCTTTTACTTCTTCCTTCTCTTCTAAAACCGTCACCGATGTTACTAGTTCAAACGACTGTAATGTAACTTTTTATGACTATTTGAAAGTTATAATTTCTACAGAACATTATTATGGACAATTAAAAAGTAAAATAATGGATTTTATTTTTGTCCAATTGAATATTCGAATATGAATTTCACTGTTAGTGATTAGAATACTAGAAATTATTTAAAATAGCTTTTTTTGGTAAAAAGAATATACAACACTTTATGATTGTATTTGTCTTATAAACATTAGTAATATGAACTGTGGTAGTAATAGTGGCTACTTCAGTGAACTGAAGATATTTCAAAAACAAAATTTTCAATATAAATCTTATGAATAAAAACTATTTCACTAGGGTAATAATCAAGTAAACTATTTCAACTCATTGTATGTGAAATGGAAATTAGTACAGGTTTAATATTATCACAAGGGGGTTTTGTGTAGATTTTAGTAATTTTATATAGTTAAGATCATGAGTCAATTGAAGCTAGACCACCGAGGAGTCCCACAATAGGACGAAACGGCCGTCCAGTGCTTCCAGGTTTTCCACGGTGGTCTAGCTACAATTGACTCATGATCTTAACTGTATAGGTTTAATGAATAATTTGACTAACTACAGTTAATCTTACTATGGTCCACCTGGTTAATTCAAACTTTCGCTTTGAATAAACTTTCTCTGGTGGCTTATTAAGCTGATGTGATCACCCATTCCATTGTATAAATTGATATTACGGAGATTGTAAATTTTACTCATGATAATATGTGACTGGAGATGAAATTTAGGATACTGATTTCAGTACTGATAATGGAAAGTGGACTAAGGACCTAGTTCTTAGGTTTCATGAAATAAGTTTTTTTATCATGTCAACTTCGGAATCTTATTTCCTTGATTTCTTATAAGAGGACCAGACGATATATTGGAAAGTCATTATACTCAAACCAACTTGGAATAAATAATGAACGAATTTTCATAGATGGGTTCCATTAAACATTAACAGGAGCTTGATTCAATTTTAATCGTCCAGCGCAATGCAAATATGCTCCGAAGACACGTTAGACGAGAAAATATTCAAGCTCCAATAAATATTCATCAAAAATGTCTATCCATCTAGGTTTATTGAGAGAAGCATAAAACCCAAGCCCCAGTCTGGAAGCACTCCTAAGAAAACTCCCTTCATGAATATTGAGATCAAGGGAGATACTGCTGTTGAAATTTTGACTGACGAAATCTTAGAGAAAAATGTTCTATGCCATTAAGTTTCGTATCGTCCTTTCCAGCCGTCCCATCATTCATGAATTTGTCAAGGACAAATTCTCGCATTAAGCCACATTAATGTGTATTTAAACGTTCACTTGCCCTCGTAAAACAGGTCCACTGGTCGCACAATTTGAGTAATTTTAAAACGAATCTCCAAACATTAACCTAAGTGGCTTTTTTAAGGCGAATGTAAAATCATCAAGAGTTCAATATTAAAACCTCGTCCATTTATGACTTATGCAATACAGAGCTGTTGGCAATCTATCTTTTCAAACTTGAATTTTGTGTGCAAAAACGAAACATGAAAGTTATCATTCTTCTATGGATCTAATACTTAATACTAATACTTATCTTCTGTATATTTAACTTCATCTTTTTCTTTAACTTTCTTTTGACATACGATGTATTCGTTCTCCTATCTTTAAATAAATTAACAGTAAGCATGATTGTATAAATTGAGTAAATACTATCATTGAAAAGAAAATTCTCTTTGCTGAATCATCTTTAATTTTTCTTCAGTGACATAATGGGTCACTTCCGTCATGTTAAATTATTAGTTAACGTATAAAAAATATGTAGTATTTAAATGTTTGTCTGTTCGAAATTAAAAAACACCATTGCTTATAATAATTAACCCATAATTCATATTTCTTTTTTATGGAAAAATACAATGAATATCTATAATTTAGGCGGTTGTACGTTTAATGCACAACGATAAGCAAATATTTGATGTTTGGTCTGAAAGCTCTCCATGGGCAACAGCTACAAATCAAGGGATTCTACAAATGTATAAAGGTGATCGTGCATGGTTGGCCATACGTGATGGAGCTTATTTTCTACACGGTTATATGTATTCAACATTCTCTGGGTATTTATTATTTGATATAAATAATAATGAAACAATTGACATCCCATAATTTGTCTAATTTTATTACTGACATGATTAATACCAATAATAACCAAGAAATTGAATATTCGCATTTTCCAAAGTCCCACTGAACAAATGTTAAGTTACTGTTAACTGGATTCTAAAAGAGAATTTAGAAAAATAACTGATAAACTACTACTTTAGTCACTTGCTGACAAATTCCATGTTATTTTACAAAAAATGTCTACACACCAAATTAATTTTTATTCTACCTCGGTGTTAATCTCCATGCATAATCTTCCGTTTTAAAATTCATATAATAAATCTATGGGATAAAATACTATCTTGATTTATACGATATTAAGGATATATCTCCAGCTATAAACAAACAATTAATCTATAATTCTGTTTAACAGAATTATTTGCATAACATTTATCGAAAGTCGTATGCTCAAACTGGTTCTTAATTCTTACAGTTACAGGATTTAAAACGTTTTTTGTTGTCAAAAATGTAATTAACTGTTCATAGAAGCTCATAATGAAGATTGGTACGTTTCTAAGAAAGAATAATTTATTTGCAAAGTGAACCAGATATACTTAAAAATATACTTACTAATGTAATTTTATAGTTAAAATAGCTTACAGTTTAACTGTAGCTCATTTTCAAACAAATAAGAAATTTAGGTCTTTTCAACTAAAAACTAATGTCAAAGAGTATATAGGTATCAGTGCGAAGATTAATTTTGATAGTTTCAAATAAATTGAGCATTGAGTAGAAAGTTGATGATAAATAAATAATTTTTTGTGATAACTCAGCGAGTAGAAAATTGTATTTTCGACGTTTCGTAACTCTATGTAAGTCACTTCTTCAGGGTAAATAAATAACCAAAATAAAATTAACACAAGTTTAAATGGTATAAAGTAAACAAAGCAGAATATTTTTTGGCATAATCGAAATGATAATAGATCTGAACATGTCAATGTCAAGTTACTTTTTGGTCAAGGTGATTTTGTAGGACATATCATTGTATTCATTTGTGAGTCAGAAGGTGGGTATGAAAAATGTATGCATGAAGTGGGGTTGAAATCGGGTGTGCGCAGACTGTGTGGAAAATAAATAAGGTCGAGGGTGGTTTTTGGATAGACAGTCCAGGTTGAATGAATAGTTAGGCCTTCTTTCTCATTGAAGTCAGGATGATTTAGCAACGTTTCGGCTACTCTCCTCTCTTTATAGCTGAAAAAGCTTTTCTGAATTATTTTGATATTTTTAATATCATTTTGGTGATTGTTGAAAATAGCATGTACTGCTATTGCTGATTTAAATTAAATAAAAGTAAATATCACACAGTCAGTGCCAGGATTTTATTAACTTAACCCATGGTTATTATCGGCATTTAACAAAATAAGTGAGATGCTGAGAACACCTTCATGCAAAGATATCAATAAGGAAATCAACAGTGATTATCTATTGAAAAATATGAAAGACCATTAGAAGTAACCGGTAACTAGCATGCAGTGTGCAGTTAAAAGCATGTAAATTTTAGATAGACTTTCTTGTATCACGCTAAGTTGTAGTTGATTGATTTAAATTGATATATTTAAAGGTGATTCATAATAGGTAACCAGTGGAGATATTCTATTTTTCATTATTAGCTTGTTTCGAAAACGTAGCTTTTAAAAGTATAAATGATTCTTTTTGCCTAGTGACTATCTTTACCTTATGTTATCTGTTTTCACTACTGTTAATTCTACAAAATAGCAACTGACTTGTTTATATTACTTCGTGCAATATATATGTCTAATATTTTAATCATGGATTTGTCTACCACTTAGATAATAGTAAATAAACCCATGATTAAAAAATATATATTTCAAATGAAGACTGAAATCAGACGAGGCTGGTCACTTGTCCTCTCTCTTTCTCCTGGTGGCCGACTGGCTTATGAAGACCACCACATCTCAGGGGAAGCATGAAATACGATGGAAAGCTTGCATACAGAGACACAATTCTGACTTCGCAGATCACCTTGTTCTCTTTTCCCTTATACACCAACAAATGCAAATTAGGACAGCCAGTGTGTCAGGAGCCTCTGAAGTAGTAGGCCACAGCAAACACAAGGGTAAAAATCACGAATCTGAAATACAACAGAAAGAACACTAGCCAACCCAACCACATTTGATGGAGGAACTCTAGAAGAGGTGGGAACATTCACGTACCTGGACAGCATCATCGATCAACAAGGAGGATCGGATGCAGACGTAAATGCAAGTACTAGTAAAGAAACAACAACATTCCTACAGTTGAAGAATATATGGAACCGAAAAAACTGCATGCAAGCTAATTTGAAGTAAGAATCTTCAATACGGATGTCAAGACAGTTCTATTGCATGGAGCTGAAACTTGGTGAACTACTACAACCATCATCAAAATAGTACAAGTATTTATAAACAATTATCTACGCAAGATACTTAATGTTCATTGGCTGGATGCCAGTAACGGCCTACTGTTGGAGAGAACAAATCAGTTTCCAGCTGAGCAGGAAATTGGGAAAAGACGATGGAGGAAATCGTCGAACTGAATCGCGAGGCCATCCCTAACTTGGAATCGTGAAGGGAAACAGAAAAGAGGAAGATCCAAGGGCAAGTTGCGCTGGGAATTGAAATCAGACATCAAAAGAATGAATAGAAACTGGGAAGGATTGCCCAAGACAGAGTTAGTTGGGCAATGTTGGTGGGTGGCCAATGGTTCTCCACGAGGGGTAACATGAGTGTGTTTCTATCTGAGATTTAGTGAAGAGGAGAGGCGGTTGTCAGTCTTTCACTATCTAACAAAGTCAACTGTTCGGAAATATAATCTTGTTTGTGTAAGTACTAGATAATTCAAAGACATAAGCATAACACCTTATTTTTAATTATTCAGAACTAGCCTATTAGTACAAACAGATTAAATCAGTGACTACTGTCTGTAGTATATCGGTATTACTTACTTTAAAGAGTAAATATTTACTCGGTGAGTACGATATCCTTTTTTAATCGAAAAAAACTGCCGAACAACTTAGTTAATTATTCTATGGTCATTCGAGCAACGTAAAAGTAACAAAAAATACGAAGATGAATACATGTGATACTTGAAAGTCCAAATAATCGCTAGAAAACGAGTTTACTACTTGTAAGTAGTTCGGCAAAATACGTTTATAATTTCAAGAACGTAGTCACAATTAACTAACCGCCCCTAATAATATCTACATTAAAAAATTGAAAGTGGCTAAAAACTAGGAGAGAAACCAAACCTTACCGTTCGCAGTGTGATTAATTTTTCTCATAGGTGCTCGCGAATAAATGACACTGACGTATGGTATTTTTAAGTGTCCGAAAGATATTTCATATTAAATATGGATAACGTTTATTCAGTCGCCGACAAACCTACAAATACTGCAACAGAAATAAACGGTAGCTGTATGTCTTAGTTAAAGATTGCTCGAATTCAGTGATATCTTCTCCCGACCGAGTAAATGCAAATAACTTCAAGCTGCTCATATTTATCTACATTTATGATTAGCCTTAGTCTACAAGTTAACACTTTGAAGTGATCGTGTTTTTTCGGTTGCACACACAAATGAATTATTATAGCATTAGATATATTATTTTCATATTGCAATGGAATAAGAGAAATATTTGTACCATCACCTCGACAAACAACCTCCTGGTTGAAGAATAACTATTTGGTTCATTAAAATCTGTAGTGGTTTTAGAGATACCTAAATACGATCTCAACAAACTCTATATTTAGTTTGTGAAAATGCGGCCTTTTTTCCCAATAGAGCGTAAACGCTCGTAAACCGCACCTATGTATACATCTTCGGAGCACTTCTTATTAAGAGCGCAGCAGAAGTTGTAGAAATAATAGTCCCGCTTATCGAAAGAAACCCCACTTTGTATTTTTTCTGCCCAAGATTTCAGGATTTTTCGATCGAACATATGTTTACAATTGTCTACGTTCAAAATACGTTGTGGTGGTTGACAGTTCTTCATGCAGACGAAGATGAAGAGAGGGCTACTTTATCCGATGTTATGTTAAAGGTGTATTTCAATTCGCAGGCTGGATCAAATATTTAAACATTAGAGAACATAATACGTTATCCTTAGATCTGACAATGGTTTTTACATATGTTCCGCTTACGAAAAGATAGTTAGATGCGAACGAATAATGAAAACTGTAAGACATTGCGATTTAAGTAGATGTCCTTGAAGAACAACAACCAAAATCTACTGCGTGTGAATTTCATATTTAACGGGGAAATATACAGACAAGGTAATAGGATAGCGATGAGTTCTGTTATGAAGGGTGATGTCCGAGATCTGACATTGATACACAACGTGGTACACTCTAACCCCACCTGACCACTTGAGCGAGAACACAAAAGAGGACGAGAAAGTATATTGGCTACCGAATAATATACACAAATACTCATTCATACATAAACATCTCTACCTCTTGGAAAATCAATCCATCTTTTAACCAACGATGTGTATTTGTCCTTCAGGTCATTTCAGATTGAATTCACGTGACCTTTTCACCTGAATGTTTCTGATAGTTTCACCATATCTGGTTCTCCACTGGATCTTATGTTAGCCGATAACTTTCTAGTTAATCTAGAAGACGAGTCACTTGCACAACTTATTGGAAAGTTCTCATTTTACTGACGAAATATGAATGTCAGATTTTTCTTTTTCAAAAAGCATATTGACCTTTAGAGACTTTTATACTGTTTAATGAAATTCATCCATTTACTACATTCACTTGTGAGGGAGAATATGAAGACAAAATAGCATTTCTAAATCCAATACTTACGAGGAGGGTTGACGGATCACGAGGATGGAACTCAAAAAACTACCTAACTAGTAAAATACATGAACTTTCCTAGTTTTGTTCTGCTACAGTAAAAGAAACTTGGTGAAGACTTCCAAAATAGAATAGTAGTCTTTAGGTACGATTGATAGGGAAGCGAATGCCTTATGTAATAAGTCAGGGGAAAACGGGTTCCTTGTGAAGTTTATAAACAAGTAATTAGCTTAACAGAACAGGGGGTTCATTTGCTAACCAACAAAAATCGCCGTTTATACGTGTAATATCTGGAGGTGACGAAACTAGTAAGACAATTCGAAGAACATTCAGTTCAGGGAAAACTACGATAAACGTTTTCTACTCATCCGATAGTGATACCGATGTTGAAAGGTACACTGGCTACATTAGCTGACTCTTTTTGTATCTGTTAATCGAAATGATTAGATGGGGTCTGATACACCGAGAGATGATCTAGGAATTTACTTTCACATACTTACCAACACCTTCTAGCATGGTTAAAACATTCAACAGCTCGACACAATACCATCTAGTCAAAACGAGTCATACAACCAGAGTGAATAAATTATACCCAATAATCTGTTGTGTTTGTTAAATCTGTTAAATTTCGAAATTTCTAAATGTTGAAAGCAGCAGTCATCCAAATTGAAAAGTCGAAGATCTGGATACAATATAAATTTGTTCAACCGTTCCTGCTAACTTGACCAACTTTAGGCCCGATAAAACAAGAGCTATCCTAATCATAAGGTGACCCAAACTATCTAGTACGTAGGTAACATTCCCCTTCGTGTTTTCACAACTTAGATTTACCCGCTCAAATATTAATTTTGTCATAATTATTAAACCAATAAACACATTAGAAATTTAAATACCACTTTCTCCGCACTATCATTTTTTTTAATACTTTACTCATAATACATAATCGTTGTCCAAAGATCTGATTAATGGTTATTTTACTTCTCTTACCTTATTTTATCTGTATTTAATTTGACTAATAATCATATAATCTTAATTGGCTCAAGTTCACATTGTATACTAGACATTCCAACATTAAAAGTTTCTCCAATTATTTTTAGATATTAGTATCACTATTGTCACATGATAAACTGATATTCACTTTACCCAAACTACTTTTTAAATGAATTTTTGTCGAACGAGTCCATCCGTTACTGAGATGAATTTCCCTACTTTTTGAGTTACTAATAATACTAGGAACATTCACTTGTGCCAGGATCCTGAGCAATATCAATATTTAAATATAAGTATGTCATTGATGTAACACTAAATTAATATCCTGCAACAATTTGGATTCGAATACATAATGATAAAATATATTCAACAGATTCAATTTGTTACTGTCTATTGATCTATTAACATACAAGGTCATTTGCTAACAAGCACAGTAATGTAATTAATTGCACGCTTTATCGATCAATAACTTAACATTACGGATATAATTATTTATGAAATTAAATAATTATATAACTGACAGGATGATCATAATAGTGCAACCATAGAATGATGCAATGATAACTCACATATTTATGCTAAGTCAACTTCACTAAAGCCTATCTCTATCGATCTTATCTTCTACAGCCAAGTAATTGTATTTATGGTCATTTTCACTGGATTTAGTACCTTGGAATATGATTCCATAACTGATAACTTGTATATCAGAGACAAATATTAAGAGTTTCACCTATAATTATTGTATTTTAATAGTTGAATTCATGAGCCGATTTATGCTACATCACCATTAAAAACCTGGAAGCACTGAACGGTCATAACATTCCAGTATGAGACTCCTCAACAGTGCGCATCCACGATCCTGCACGCGGGACTCGAATCCAGAACTTATCGGTCTCGCATGAGAACGCTTAACCTCTAGACCATTGAGCCATCATCCGACGATGTCGATGTTTAACCTTTGCCAATCCACGATTGTCTTCAGTGAGTACCTGCCTCACGACAAACGCAGTTGGACTCCACTGGTCACGGCTTCTCACTAGGACTCCAGGTAATACATTTTGAAGCCAGTCATTAGTGAGAACATAATGATTATTATCAGGATGGAGGGTTGTAGAGATTATGGATTGATTGAAGTTAAACATTAACACCATCGGATGATGACTCAATGCTCTAGAGGTCACGCGTTCTCGTGCGAGACCGAACGTCCTGGGTTGGAGTCCCGCGTGCAGGATCGTGGATGCGCACTGCTGAGGAGTCCCATACTGGAATGTTATGACCGTCCAGTGCTTCCAGTTTTTCCATGGAGGTCTGGCTTAAATCGGTTCATGAATTCAACAATTAAATTACTCCAATCTCCACAAACTCCCATTCTAATAACTATATATATGTTAACTATCATGCAACGCATATTTGTTCAACGATAACAGGGGAACAAAACATTTTGTCAAACAACTTCTTGTAACTTTCCCGTTCTGAAATGTGAGCTTTATAGAGGGATACAGTATTACAATTTATTCGTCCAATGAATGTAAACATATCAATGCCTATGAGACTAAGATGTGAATTACAGTCAGTGTAATTGTTAGAAACGAAATCACCTAACTAATCATGACTTTTAGCTATGATAAAGTGACAACATAATTAATTTTATTTCCTCAAGTATATAAAGTAAAATATATAGGATTTTAAGTAACTAGTGCTGAAGTCAAATATAAACGGGGAAAAATGAAACTTAGAAGTTAGGCTTTAAAGAAGTAGATTGTCAAAAAATATTTACAAAGTTTATTTAATAAAGATCATAAAGATAGAATTTCAGTAAAGCGTTAATAAGTAATTGATTTCTTATTTCATGCGAATTTACATTCAAAGTTAGTTAGTTGATTTGTAGCTAAATTAAACTAAATTTAAATCAACGACAAAACCAATTCAAGCAGTAAATATGATTAAATTAATGTTTACCTCAGAAAATGATAGATCAAATAAGAAGACTATATACTACTTGCATAAACGTAAACTGAAATCTGCAATTAGATTCATATGATCTGATGGAAATATAGCTGACGGTAGACCATTAGGACCAATTTCATTTTTGGATGGAATAGACCAAACACCTAGCAAAGTGCATAATCGATCACAGTACCAAATATAATCAATCGTGTGACAGTCTTCGGTAAGTTCTACAATTCGTTTACTTTTTCTGATTTTCCATGTTGTAAATTCAGGCTCTTTACAACCACCTGCTGTGTAATAAGCACTTGTGAGTTTGTACAATGTATTAGAATTCAGAGAGAAATTTTGTAACATATTAATTACTGGTTCCGTAGGTTCAGCATTGAAATCACCACAAATAAAAATAGGAGAAAACACAGTGCTATTTAGAGGTGCAGAAGTGGAAGAAATACGCTTGATAAATGAATTTAAATATTTAACAAGTTCTTCTCCTTGTTTTCTTCGTATCTCACAACAATGTACTTTAGCTTTTAGGTGAAGACAAATTAGGTAGATATCAGAGCAGCTCTTGTTTAAGTGCCCAACAACTTTAGGTATGAAGTGACAAAAAAGAGCGTAACGTGAACTGTCTTCATTGAGAGGAATCTTTTCAGATTTTATCAGTTCATAATTATCATTCCTATTTGATGAAAACGTAAAAAAGACAAAAGTGGTTACCGATAAATAACAGCAAGTCCATCAGGCCCGTGATTATTTTTAACCGTCAAGCAAGGAGAGGACATCTTTGGTAGAAAACAAAACGAATAATTATCTCCCCCACTTTTCTCATTGAGACATTTTACTATGTCTTTAATTATGTCTGCTTCTTGTAAGCAAACAACGTCTGGATTATAACGCAGGATTTCCTCACTGATTAATTTACATCTACGTTCAAACGATAACATTTTACAAGGACAGTATATGAATTCATCCAGCGGAATAAAGCCTGTATTATGGAAATAAATAAAAGTTTACAGCTAGAAACCTACCCTGAGCAAGCATGTTCCACTGCATAATACGTATTTTTAAGTCATTTTTATCATAGTTTTCTAGGTCGATGTAACTCCTTGAGTAGGGCTTTTCATTTGATTCACAAACAGACATTGAACTAGAGGTAGGAAGTTTATAGATACACACATGTATTAGGTATTATTGAGTAAAACGTGCATAGATTTACGCTTAATGAGATTATATTGAGAAATAGGAAACCGTGAAGATTCGGGCTCTTAAAAAATATTAGAAAACTGAAAAAACATAGTGAATATCAAGACTGTTGAGGCATTTTACATTTATTGACTATACGCAGAGTAAAATGACTCAAATTTTTGAATTGCATAGTTTAAAAAATTACCAAGACTTCGATCTGAAGAGACAGATATTAATTCGCAACTATCATAACAAAATGGCTACATATCAAAGTGCGACTGACAATCGTATGAGGCAACAATGTAATTAGTAGACATATGCATTCATCTTTATAATATGTACATGTTCAATAATGAAAAACAATTTGCTTTATACAAATTGTTTACTTAGACTACGATAACAAAGCTTTACGACTATTTCTCGATAAACATAACAGAGTGCATTAGAATTATGAAAGATTCTAACGAAAAAAACTAATCATTATTAGTATTATACAGTCACAAGAAAAGGTAGTGGATATAATAATATGCGTGAATATCAAACTAACAGCCTGAAAAATTCCCAAAAGATAAAACTCGAATTGAAAATAATGAAATAAATAAGAAAACTTTGTATATGGACTACTTGGTGTCCGCAGAGCTAATCGATACATACATGTATTGATATAACTGCCAATACACGAAAGACGGGTGAGAACGAATGTGTCAGTCGCAGATTTTTGTCAAGGTGTCCCAATAATTTTATGACTTCATTTATCCGCAACTAAATTGATTCCATAGGTTGGACAATACCGATATGAGTTTCTCTCTATGCTCACACTAGGCTATTCGCTATTAGAAGCAGCTCTGAACTCGGTGTACCAGGATACATAAGTAGGTAAACTTATTGTAAGCAAGATAGGTAATACAATATAATCTGTCTTATGTTTGTTCTCATTACGAGTAGTGTTACTGTCAAGTTGTTTGTCTATGATTTATCAGGCGTACTAATTTAGGATGCATACTACTGTATCACTAAAAGACTGAGTTCTTTTGGACTGAATCTGTATGACAGCTATCTATGCCCAACCAGGACTTCTAACACTAAATAGTAATTGCATAGAAGCAATGCCAAATTTTGGTGAAAAGCGGTTAGCCAAGATTAAATATATTCGTCAACAGATAGTGTTATCTTGGTATATCAACCAAAGTGCTTCACATATCCTACTCTTAACAGCATTTTCACACATAATGTCAGTCGTCAAGACTGGAAATTGTTTAAAAAGAAGTGAGGAAGTCATCTAGTAACACGTAACTATGAAGTGAGGGGTATTTGTGGGCTCCGTGAAGACTCATTGGACGTGATCTAAAGGCCTATAGCCTATTGGGTCAGTAGGTGAATACATACATAGAACAGCACTGTGGTTCGATGAAATCCATCTGAACTCGATCAGTGGTTATCCCCACTGTAGTAGATGAGTTACCTAAATACATGTTTTTTGACACCCATTCCAAAACTCCAAAGGTAAGGTTTAAGTAATGAACACTTAAACCCTATTTTTGTGTAAAAAGTGAAACCATAAGTCACCAGTCGATCGTAACGTTAACGAAATTTACAATATTTGGTATAACCTGTATATCCAGCATGATGAAAAATCAGTTGAAAGTGTGTGTGTAGTTAGTGATCCTTCGTTTTATTATTTATTTATCAGTCTGAAAACTTTTTAAAAATCCTCTAGCCCTTAATCTAAAAAATAGATATTTTAGGAGTGAATAACAAACGTTTATTTATAAAACAAGTGTTTTCAAAAACGAGCCGTCATTCCCAAAAATAAACGTTTATCATTTCAAATAAGGAAAGAACCGTAAATATAACAGGATAATCAATAAACATTTGAGAAAATAGTCAAAAATCATGACAATTTAACTTTCTGTCTGCAGTTTATCCTGAACGTTTATAGGTTTCCAGTACTTTAATTTAAACACGTTAAACTACTGTATATCTTTGTTTGAAATCAATCTTATATTTTCCTCTCCCGTTTCTACTGAGTTTAAATTCGATAACTTATCTAGTAATTAACAGTAGTAAACAACGTGTTATTGTTTGCCTTCGTTTTTCACAGTCAGCTTCATACGGCCGCTAACAAAGCTTACCAAATGTCACTTTTAAATACCTTCAGCGTTATCCAATTATTGCAAAGGGCGTTATGTATAAAAAAGGAATTGTTAGAGATTGTTTTGAGATATAAGGGCGGTCAACCATAAAGTCGCATGACGGAACAACGTATTATAGCATCATTAAACCGTGGATAATTGGTTACGACTTGTATTTTAAGTATCTTAACAGATTTCGGGTTTTTCTACAGAAACTCACAAGAAATCAAAAACGTGGAAGGTCAATCGGAACTACTAAACAAGAAAATTCTAAACACTAAAATGAGACAATGTACAATACCCACTTGTGTTGATTTATGGAGCAGACTATTACTGTTCAGCAAATGATTTAAATTTATTTTTGTTAATAAGTGATTTTAAAATAACTGTAGGCATTTTGAAAACTCCATTATAAACTAAGTGAAATTTAAGGAATAGTTGTAGTGACCTATATTTATGGTGAGAACGCGATTGGTATGATCGAAACTTTTATTCTTATAACCAATTCTACTACTCAATTTTTTGCTGTACTTGTTTGTCCAAGTGTACCAAACGCATACTTTCCTCCGTTGCCTGTGACCTCGCACGAACTCGCATACCCTCTGTAGTTCCGCTTGTTAACTTTGGCACATCTCGGATTGTTTGGATACCACGAGATCGCCAACAAGTATATCTTATTAAAGTAGTCAATGGCCTTCTGGTTTTTTGCCTACGGTGAGATTTGACTCGATATCTGGCACGTAATCTTCCTGTAGTGGTGATTATAGTCAATCGCGACTCTGCACCAACTACATATTAATGGAGAATTATTTCACTTAGGGTTTATTGATACATTCACTTTCTAAGTATGCGCTGTTACAGTTTTTTTTAAAATAATAACGTGATTTCTTTAAAAAAGTATTGAACACTCGTATGTGAAATCCACCTAGGCGAACATCTTCCGTTAGCAAACAACATTGATGATTGTCATATTAGTTTTACTGGACGCCAACTGACTAAAGGTGTCATATCAAACTCCATACAAAATGACGTTCAGAACACACGCCTTGAAACACCAGTGTGCGCGAACCAAATATGACTATATGGTCAGTGAATTGCCACTGAGTTCTAGTCGAACCATACAGAAGTCGGGTCACTGAGTGTCAAATACTTCACGGATCCCCATCCAGGTCAAGAACGATCAACATGCATCAACTCGTTGCACGTAATGGACTGGCCTATGCAATAGTGGCCACACACTGTTCCTTGTACCTACTCTTATTAATATATTTCTGTATTAATATCGTTTGAATTGTACGGTTATCAAGGTAGCCGTAGTATCTGGATACGACGAAAGTTTAATCCACGTTAGGTACTAAGAATGAGGTATGTCTTCAATGTAAACCGAATGGCCACGCATTCTCGTGAAACTAGATTAGACCGCCATTCATCTGACCTGAACTTATTAGGCTAGTGAGATATCAATAAGGATTAGCCGAGACACAAATAATTGCGGGGTCAGGATTTTTGTCTGAATTTCCTCAACTAGTGGTATCTTTCAAAGCCAGCTTGGCGAATGACTAGAAAACTGTTTATTTCAAAGTTACATGCCGCTAAATGATCTCAGAGGACTTATTATGAGCCCTCCATGTTAAATCCATGTTAAAGAAGGCAATGACTATGAAAGTCTCTCCGTTAAATGAAGGTACGTCTGTTTAATCAACCACTTAAATTCTTATGATAATCACTCATAACTGGAAATGTACATCCCAACTACTAACGCAACCTTTTCGAGCCCTGTCTTTTCAGCTATTTGGAATTATAAACGATGCTAAATGAAAGTACCCTCGTCTTCTGGGAAAATAATGGAGTATGTTTGTTACTTCTGGTGGATAATCAGTGTGAGCGTTATGTTGAAGTTGTTAGTAAATTGTTAGTGGCAGTCAGCTGAAGGGATTCAGCCATCTGGTCTTGATATTCTACAACTGACGGAGTGGTTTTCAGTATACTTAGCTTTGAAGAATGGCAGATAAATTATGAGACCAGGTGTTCGGAAGGCTTTTATCGATCACAGGGCTCGCTGTCAATGTTTACCGATAAAACATTAGAACTGCTCTGCATGCAAGAGAGATAGATAGATCTCAAAGTTAGTGTTGTAGCTTAAGTATCCACTACCGAGTGTTAAAACAAGAGATGATGTAGTTATTTTCTGCTGACTGGTATAAGGGAATGGAAGAAACGTACAAAAATATAGGTGGTAATAGCTGTTCGAGTTGGAAGAAAATGGTGTTATCTATCTTTCATCGTGGTCACACTTTCAAATAAATGACCGATCTAGCCTACTCTATTGTGGTAATCGGATAGGGCAGCTTCTTTGTTGACTCTGCAAAACCAATACGGTTCATGATGAAAGGAATTTAGCGAAGAAGGTGCTTATTCCAACGAAACCATTTGCATATGCTTTGTAAGCGTATTTACCGTTGTGTGATGAATATATGAGTATGTATTGGTCTTGTTTTGTTTCTGTTATTACTTTGCAATTTTATGCCATAGTCAGCTATTATTATCTTCTAGTGATTTTCTTGGTCTTTATGCAGTTGTTATTATGACCATTTACATGTTTTATTTTCCTTGGTGTCTGAAAGTGGACAGTTATCTCTTACAATAATTATTATTATTCTGACTCGTAAATTAACTCCATCTTATATTCTTCCAACCCTCTGAATGTTGCACGACATCTTTCGAAATTTAAAATTGCAAACCACTTTAAGATGTAACCTTTCATAATTTTTCATAAACATATGTTTGTTAGACGAACGAACAAGTTAAATGATTACGTACGGGGAAAGATTTTCTTCCTCAAACCATTTATATTTTTATGGAAATAACAAAGGTCATTGGAGAGTACAGGTTAGCGAAGTATGTAGTAAGGACGCTGTCGCATGAGTTTGTAGTGACCGGCCAGTCTCGATAAGAACACGATTGGAATAATAGAAACAATTATTATTATTGTAACCAATTGTACCAGAGATTGTTTTACTGTATTTGTTTAACTGTATCCGTTTCACTTCTTGTTCCATATACCGCCTGGTTTGTTTCGAGCTTGCTCACGCACTGCTTGTCCGCTTGTACTCTTTGGCACGTCTCGGTATTATTTCGATACCACGAGATCGCCAATAAATATACTTGATCTGGACTAGTAAAGCCTTCTGGTTTACGGGCTATCAAGGGAACCAAGTCGTTTTTGGGCGCGTAAACGAATTGTAGTGGTGATCATAGTCCGTCTTCGACTCGACATCCACTACAACTGGTGAGCCGTTATTGGAACACGCAATACAGCTGGTAACCCAATCCATCGAGCACAAGTCAAACTTGGCCAATTCTCCAAACCAGATCAATCTGGTGAGTCTATTTATCTATCCACATCTGTTGCATATATTCGTATTGATTTTTTTTTTCAATATATAATATTTTGGCAACTTAATATGGTAGATAACGAAAAGAATAACATAAATATGATAGACTCCGAGATACAGGTTATCAGTTTCCGACCGGTTCCTTTCATCCCCCATGATCCAGAAGTCTGGTTCGCGGCACTGGAATCTCAATTTGAGATCCGCCGCATAACCAATCAAAGGCAGAAATACGCCTACGCTTTGGAATCATTGCCCGGGGATCACCTAACCGCTGTCCGTGAGGTTGTCCTCAATCCCAACGTTCCAAACGTTTATGACCGTCTTAAGGATGCCATCCTTCGACATTTCCTCCCATCAAGAGAGGAACGATTGAGGACACTTTTAGCACGTCACCCTATGGGTGATGCTAAGCCGAGCCACCACCTCACGCGCCTGCAATCCCTTGCAGGAAACATGACAGCTGACTCTGAGATAGTCAAAGAGTTGTGGTTCGAAGCCTTACCAGTCAGTATCCAGCCAACCCTTACGGCTCTGCTCGAGGACACCCCGCTCAACAAGGTGGCCCTCATAGCAGATAAGATTCTGGCACGAGTTAACACCAGAGGCGACCATTTTGTTGCTAGTTTTTCCCGTTCTAACGTTGATCTCGATGCTAGACGACCTCCGGCTCATGGGGACAGGGACAGATGTATCCATACTCGTCTCAGTTTCCGAGACCGCGCAAATGTGCCAGCCCCCTACGTCCCCCGACCCAGGTCACAATCTCGAAAAGCCGTAACGACTCGCCCCAAGCGGGCATCTTCCAAGCCACGCCAGAAGGCGGTTTCGGAAGCGAGTCCAGGTTGGTGCTGGTTTCACCGTGCTTTCGGAGCCGGTGCCCGTCATTGTCGAGCTCCCTGCTCATACAAGGCGGGAAACTTCCCAGCCGGCGAGTAAATGCGGCCGTACTCGCCGGCACTTCACCTCAGGTTGGCCGTTTATTTTATGTGCACGATTATTGCACCAACGCTAGGTACCTTGTGGATACGGGTGCCCAAGTTTCTGTCGTACCTATCGGTAACAGTAAGTCTCAAGCCACTATGCTTCGACTACGCGCTGCGAATGGCTCAGTCATTCCCACCTATGGTACACAACAACTTACGGTCAACCTGAGCAACCGACGACAGTATCTGTGGACGTTCATCATTGCCGATGTTCCCACAGCTATACTCGGTATCGATTTCCTACAGCACTATGAATTGCTAGTCGATTCACGTAGGCTGCAGCTAATTGATACTTCGTCGAACAGCAACTTTATGGGCTCTAAAGCCCACACAAACGCGTACCGAATCACAGGTGTATTTCATTCGCGTGACGATTTATTCCACGTTTTATTTCAGAAATTCCCCAAATTAACTAAACCTCTCGAGGAGACTCCATCGGTGACCAATCGTGTGGTACACCACATAGTCACCCGCGGACCACCAGTCACGGCAAGACCTCGCCGACTGGCACCGGACAAATTAGCTTTCGCTAAACGTGAGTTTGACAATTTACTAGCTACTGGTATTATTCGTCCTTCTCACAGTCCTTGGGCCTCACCTCTCCACATGGTTCAAAAAAAGGATGGGGTTAGTTGGAGACCATGCGGAGACTACCGAGCGTTAAACACAGCTACACGTTTCGATAGCTATCCCATCCCCCACATACATGACATCACGGCATCACTCAAGGGCACGACAATTTTTTCCAAGATCGATCTGGTACGAGCATATCACCAGATCCCAGTCGCTCTTGAAGATATAGAGAAAACTGCCATCACGACTCCTTTCGGTTTATTTGAGTTCCTACGAATGCCATTTG